AATCTTTAATAATGTTTCTTAACAGTAACATTAAATAAAGTTAAATTAGTTAAAATTTATTTATATTTAAATCCAAAAATTTAAAATATTTTTTTTTTGTTATAAATGAGTCGTACATATTATTATTATTATTATTATTTTATTAGTTATCAAAGAATATCCCCTATATGAAATTTGGTATCAAATAAATAAACAGTTATTCTCATTTGAACTTTAATCACTTAATTCATTCTCATTTTAACTTTAATCACTTAATTAAGTAACTTAAATCTTTCACCACTTCCGCTAACTTAAATTAGTTTGAAATTAGTCTATAATCCTTGCATCAACCGAAGTCGATTATTATTAATACTCATTTGCTTTCCAACCATTTTTTTTCTTTAACGTAATACATCTCAGACTATCGAATTTATTCTCTCATTTCAAGACTTTACTAAATGGACAAACAATTAACATTTAAAATTTAACGCGATAATCCACATTAACCTTCCAATTTGTTTTTTATTACGTAAATATATCATAAAGATAAAATTTTAATTTGAATTAAAAAAATACTTAACTCACTGCATCAAAAGTTTCTCTCATTATATCTTCTTTTTGCTCAATTATCTTTAAAGAGAATAGGGTTTTAATAAAATAATTGATACTATAATTGAATCACATCTCATATTAGAATTTGTAGGTTTTGAAAAAACTCATTTAAAAATTATACTGACAAAAAAAAATTATACTGCCAAAGCATAATAATTAAATTCTCCTTGTTTTACATCTCATATTAGAATTTGTAGGTTTTGAAAAAACTCATTTAAAAATTATACTGATAAAAAAAAATTATACTGCCAAAGCATAATAATTAAATTCTCCTTGTTTTACATTGTATATTTTTTGCTAAAACCCTATTTTGGTCCCTTATATTAAATTGTTTATTTCAATTTAGTCTCACTTTTATTTTTGGTTTCAATTTAGTCCCAAGTAAATTAATTGGTTTCAATTTGGTCCCAAATATATTATTTGATTTCAATTTGTGACTTCCGTCCAAATTATTAAACGGAGTTAACTTTTGGCCACGTGGATGCCACGTAGATGCATACGTGGATGCTTCGTGAATGCCACGTGGATGACAATTTTTTTGAAAACACCTGAACCCAGAACGGCTCGTTCCGATTTTAGAACGGGCCGTTCCGGTTTCATCTTTTTTTTTTTTTTTTATATATATATAAAATATTAATAATTCTATAAAATATATATTATTAATT